CCTAGCTAGCTAGCTGGGGGCTGTAGAACTTCTTGGCTGCTGCAGACCCACATGGCTAGCTGGCTAGCTAGCTAGCTAGCCAGTGAGGCAGCTAGCTGGCTATCCAGCCAGCTAGCCATCCAGCCAGCTAACCAACTAGCTAGCTGGCCAGACAGCTAGCCAGCCAGCTAGCTAGCCAGCTGGCTAGCTGGCCAGCTAGCTAGCTAGCTGGCTAGCTAGCTATGGCTGGCGGCTGCAGCATTTGGTTGTTGTTGACTTAATTGGATTTAGTTTTTCTCCGGCGCGGAATCGAAAGTGCTGCTGCTGCCACTAACAGACAAAAAGGAAGTTTAAATGAAGTAGAAAGTAAATAAATATGAATAAAGGATAAATAATTAATAAATAGATAAAAAACGATAAATAAAAAATAAATAAATGAACAAATAAAAGTAGATGAAAATGAGCCAAAGAAAACGACGGAGGCAAAGAGAGAACTGGGGCAGCAGGGGTAGGTGTACGTACACCCCAAATGCATGCAAACTTTGGCTGCTGCTGCAGCAAGAGACAGCAGCAGCAGCAGCAACAGCAGCAGCAGCAGCAGCAATTATAATTGCAATTATAATTACGGGGGAATAAAAGGTAGTAAAGAGTAAAAATTTGATAAACGGAAGTGCCTTTGGGCTTGCAGCAGCAGCTGCTGCTGCTGTTGCTGCGGCTGTTGCTGCAGCTGCTGTTGCTGCAGCTGCTGTTGCTGCAGCTGCTGTTGCTGCAGCTGCTGCAGCAGCTGCTGTTACTGCAGCTGCAGCTTCTGGGCTCCAAAAAGAAGCCCTTGCTAAAAAAGTCCCTCTAAGGGGAGTGCTGCCGCAGAGCAGCGAAACCCCTTGTGGTTTCCAGGGTTTAGGGTTTAGGGTTTAGGGTTTAGGGTTTAGGGTTTAGGGTTTAGTCTCCAATTTGCCGCTCATCGAGGACCCCCTTTGCTGCTTCAACAGGTGCTGCTGCTGCTGCTGCTGCTGCAGCAGAACCTGCAGCAAGAATGGCCTGCAGATCGGCCACATCTTCAGCCCTGTCCCAGCGCAGCTCTTTATACTCGCTGCTGCTGCTGCTGCTGCTGCTGCTGCTGCTGCACGCGAAGTCGAGGGCCCTTTCTGCTGCTTCGGGGGGCCCCTCTCCTGCTGCAGGAAAGAATAGGGGGCCCCTCGACCAAGACACTTTGCTGCCAAGGGAGAGCCGCAAATTAAAAAGGGGCCCCAAGAGGGGCCCCGCAGCACCTTGGGGGCCCTCGAGCGACAGCAAAGACCGCGGAATCTGCTGCTGCTGCTGCTGCTGCTGCTGGGGCGGGGGCGCGGGGTGGGGGTCGAGCTGCAGCTGCTGCTGCTGCTGCGGCGCTGCTGGGGCGGCTGCTGCTGCTTGCAGCAGCCACTGCAGCGCATCTTGGTCCTGCGGCTGCGCCGGCGCACCTGCTGCTGCTGCTGCTGCTGCTGCTGCTGGTGCTGCTGCTGCTGCTGCTGGTGCTGCTGCTGCTGCTGGGGAGAGGCAAACGCGCTCGTGGCAAACAGCAGCAGCACAATTTGTGAAGCGGAGTCCGCAGCCTTCGCACTCGAAGAGGACGTCGGGCTGCTGCTGCTGCTGCCGCCGCCGCTGCTGCTGCTGCTGCTGCTGCTGCTGCTGCTGCTGCAGCGGGCCCAGCGCATGCAAAGCTGAAGCTAATAAAGCAGCAGGAGGGGCCCCTGGCTCTTTATAGAAATCCGAAAGAAGAGAAAAAGCAGAAAGGTCCCTATACACCCCAACTTCTATGCTGTCGTCCGCAGCGCCCAGCGCGTCCTGCAGCAAAATTAAATTTTTATTTATTTTTATTTATTTTTATTTATTTTACTTTATTTACTATTTATTTTGTTTTATTTTTATTTATTTATTTACTTAGTTTATTTTTTTAATTCTTTTATTTCTTTTGTCGTTTTATTCTTTTAATCATTTTAGGCCTTTAAAGCTTTTGAATCTTTTGAATTGGTCTTTTGGACCTTTTAAATTAATTAATTAGTTCAATAATGAAAATAATCAATTTCATAATAAATCAATTAATTAATTAATTGGTCATTAAATTGATTAATTAACCAATTAATTAAATAGTCAATTAATTAATTAATTAATTAATCAATTGATTAAATAGTCAATTAATTAATGCATTAATTAATTGATTGATTGATTAATTAATTAATTAATTAATTCATTCATTCATTAATTAATTGGTTATTTAATCAATCAATTAATTAAATATTAAATTAATAAATAGTGAAACAAGAAACATTAATTTAATAAGTATTAAACTTATATATATATATATATTAAATTAATAGCATTAATTTATTAAATATTAAATCAACAGATAATAAAATTAATAAACATCAAATTAATAATTATTCAATCAACATTAAATTAATTAATATTAAATAGCTTAATATTAAATTAAATAACATTAAATTAATTAATATTAAATTAACAAACATTAAATGAATAAACATTAAATTAATAAACATCAAATTAATAAATACAAAAAATAATTAAGTATTAAAATAATAAACATTAAATTAAAAAAAGCAAAAAATAAAAAAAGTAAAAATTGAAAAGTGCTGCTGCGTTGGGGTGTATGTCCACCTCTCTCAGGCGCATCTCGTGTTTAGACACCGCATCCAAAACTTCTCCAAACTGAAAAATAAAAAAGAAAATAAAATAAAATAAAAATGAA